GGGGGAAATGTCAGTTGGAGTAGGAGTTGGCACTGGTTGGGAATGGGAATGCAGAATAGGGCCAGAAAAAGCACCGGAGAATGCGGGGGAAGAGACTTTTCTTGATAAATTTTTAAGTAGGCTCTACACCCAATATAGGGCTTAACTCACAACCCTGAAGTCAGGTCACATGTTCTACCCACTGAGCCAGTCAGGTGCCCCTGGTAAATGTTTGAGGGCAGTCAGAATCAGACTGTGCCAAGACAGGGTTTATCAGTGGGGGCTATTCATGAAAATGGCTCGGATTTTGATCAATATGTTGGTGAAACAGGCAAAGCTATGGGTAAAAGATTAATTCACTAATTCCATGGTTCATTTGTTCAAATATTTCCTAAGTACCTATGACGTGCCAGACTTTGTGCTTAGTGCTGTGAACTCCCAGTCCCAAACAGAGGAGGACTCTTGAGAAAACTTTTCTTGGTAATCTGGGTGTCGGGTGTGTATAAGCCAGGAAAGTCCTTATTCAGTCTCCTGTCCCATACTTTGCAGAACAGGTATAGAGACTGGGACAAGAGATTGTGCCTTGGAGCTGGGTTCTCTATGTTTTTGCCATCACAACATAAGAATATGGTGGATGATCTTTATACATGATACACCACCAGATGCTTACTTGGAGTTTTAAAAAATCTTCAAAATGCTTATTAAGAGTGAAACAAATGGGTAGGTGGAAATTTTTCTTGAGATGTTTATTTATTAAAAACCTGAGTTGCTATGTCAGTGAATTAAGGCTATATCAGTACCTTCGCAGTATAGAGAACACTGGCTTTAGATTATGAAAACATTTTACATGCTGGTTTTAAGTGCCTGTGAGCAAAAGTGAGGTTATTAGAGATATAAATCTGCATTTGCTCCAATTTATTAAAAAGATAAACATTCACAGCTTTTTGTACCTTATGTACTGAAAATAATTCCTTGTGACACTTCTCATAACTAATCTTTCCAATATATTGTGCTGCAAAGAGAGGCCACCCTTATAACGTGGGGTGAGGGGCAGGCTGTTTTATCCACTAGGGACATGGCTTCAGTGTGGAGATCCTGTACCTTTTAAAGAAACTGAGTGGTAAAAAACACTTGAGATCTGAAACCTATGTACAAAGAAAATGGCAAAATAAAATTACTACTTGTTTAAATAAATAAATATCTACAAAATACAACTAGGCCAAAAAGTAATGCACTCAACTCCTCTATAGTTATCTAACAATTGTACCTAATGTGGTTTGCGAGTGTGCATTTTAACATGTTGTTCTGATGTCAGGAGAGTCTTCCAATGTTAAGACTGCATGAAGACATAAAAGACTTTTACCTAACGCCCTAAAGAGAGAAGGGGCATAACCAAAAAAAATAGAGTTGGTTGGGACTTGCAGGAAGAAAAGAAGACACTAGGGGGAAAAGGAGACAGTAAAGTCTGCTCAGGGGTGGTAGGAAAGAAAAGGCTCCATTTCTCCTTAGCCTGGGTTGAATCTTACCTCTGATGCTCACTCCTGGCTCTCCTTGGTTCTAGATCTGAAGCTCTGACTCCCATCACTCTGCTCTGCCCCCTGGCATTCTATAAATGATGGAGACAGTCTCTGTTTCTGAAGAGACAGATGGGTGTTTTTCAAAGCGCTCAAGGAGAGCCTGCCAGCTAGCTGTGACCCAAGCTAAGTCTGTCAGTGGTGGACCTGCTTGGTGCACCACCCAGCCCTCGGGTCTTGGTTCTGAGACACCAGGTCCTTTGGAGAAATCTGTTCTCAGGCTGTTTTTCTCATCCCTTTCACTCTTCTTTTTCCTGGGAAAGGAATTTCCTTTGGTCGTATTTGGATGGAGAATAGACTTTAATGTTGCTGAATGTTCATTAAGGTGTTTTGTCTATTGAAAAAAACAATGGGATGATAGCCAAAGAGAGTTATAAATAATAATAACAGGACTAATAACCTAGTCTTTGGAGTACTTTATCTGAACTAACTCATTTAATCCTCCTGATTATCTCATGCAGTTCATTGTTACCCACATGTTACAAATGAAAAGATGGAGGTGTAGCAGGAGTAAAGTAACTTGCCCAAGATCATGCAGCTAGTCAGGAAAGAACTGGGAAATTAACACAGGAAGTCTGGCCCTAGAACTCAGTGTCCTCACCGACTACACCTGTTCCTTCCCACTTAGTATGGCTCCCTGCCCCTTCTCCACCATTCTGAATCTTTTTTTCTCGCTCATCTAGATATTCTCTTAGGGTTCTGGGAAGTACTTTCTGTGAGACTTTGGATGAGCCCCTTTGTACCTGTGACTTTCCTCTCTTCTCATCCCTCTTCCTAAATGAGCCTAGAACTCTCCTGCTGAGAACCCTCAGTGCAGCTGAGATGGGGCCCTCAGAAGCCATTGAATGAAATTAAAGTCCTTCTTCACACACAGTAACCTCCTTTCTGGAACTTCAATTACAATCATCCACGTCTTGCTGCCCTTCTCCCTGCCCTGCCTTTGCTGTGTCACTGTTGAGGATTTAAAACATCATTAGAATTATAGCAGAGAGCCAGAGGTGTTTTTATGAGGACTTATATCAAGTATCTTTTATTGAGAAGGGATGCATTAATAACCAATGGGGTTGGGAGAAGTGATGAGGAAAATTTTCAGTAAATTTTCTTCTAAGGAAAACGAATTTGTTTTTTGGTGGGGTTTTTATTTATATAAATTTGGGGCCTGGGCTTTAGAATAGAGGCAGAGCAATGCTACCAGTGGCCTTTCTCTGTGCTTATCCCAGCAAAGCTCAGCCTCTCCCCCAAATAGAAGTTGAATGAATATTTAAAATATACTGCCTTGAAAGATGTTGTATTATTAGCTCACCTGGGGACCATACTTCTCTGAATCTGGCCCTATTCCCTTTTCTGTACCTACCTGTAGTCCCATTGCTCCCTCCACACAGCCCATCATGCTCTGAGCAAGTGCATCTGCATAGGGGCAGGGGGGATAGACTCATAAGTTGTGGCTTTCACTCCTTTGGGTGTCTTCCTCCCTGGCTCCTCTGATTATCAGTAGATCCATCTAGTATTTATTTGGTAAGTATTTATTTATACTCCTGATTCTTATTCTCTTTATGGTCCCTTTTCTCCATGTTCCCTTCCAGAGGTTTTATTTTATTTTATTTTTTATTCTTATGTTAATCCCCATACATTACATCATTAGTGTTAGATGAAGTGTTCCATGATTCATTGTTTGTGCGTAACACCCAGTGCTCCATGCAGAATGTGCCCTCCTCAATACCCATCACCAGGCTAACCCATCCTCCCACCCCCCTCCCCTCTAGAACCCTCAGTTTGTTTTTCAGAGTCCATCGTCTCTCATGGTTCATCTACCCCTCCAATTTCCCCCCCTTCATTCTTCCCCTCCTGCTACCTTCTTCTTCTTCTTCTTTTTTTTTTTCTTAACATATATTGCATTATTTGTTTCAGAGGTACAGATCTGAGATTCAATAGTCTTGCACAATTCACAGTGCTTACCAGAGCACATACCCTCCCCAGTGTCTATCACCCAGTCACCCCATCCCTCCCACCCCACCCCCCACTCCAGCAACCCTCAGTTTGTTTCCTGCGATTAAGAATTCCTCATATTGGGCGCCTGGGTGGCTCAGTTGGTTAAGCGACTGCCTTCGGCTCAGGTCATGATCCTGGAGTCCCGGGATCGAGTCCCGCATCGGGCTCCCTGCTCAGCGGGGAGTCTGCTTCTCCCTCTGACCCTCCCCACTCTCATGTGCTCTCTCTCATTCTCTCTGTCTCAAATAAATAAATAAAATCTTTAAAAGAAAAAAAAAAGAATTCCTCATATCAGTGAGGTCATATGATACATGTCTTTCTCTGTTTGACTTATTTTGCTCAACATAATACCCTCCAGTTCCATCCACGTTGTTGCAAATGGCAAGATCTCATTCCTAATCATCCTGTCTCTAGTCCTAATAGCTAACAGGTGGTCCAGAGATTCAGCAGGAAACCAATCTTACCTGAGTATTGGGCAAAGCTAAGGAGAGAGGACTTTATGTTTAACCCTTCTTAGCAGAAGGGAGATCTGAATCTTTTTGAGGGTAAGAAACAAGTGGGGCAGGAGGAGGGCTATATTAATGGAGCCACCGGGAAGTGTATTGATTCCTTGTACTCAGAATAGTTTTCCTGGGGGGACTCTTAAGGATAAGGAGATCTAGACTAGACACACATTTATGGAACCGTTTGGGGAGGAGCGTGAGAAGTCACAAGGAGCAGGCAGTGAATATGGTCCTTCTCAATTTCATTGGTTGCTCCATTCCTTGCTGCCTTTAGGGAAGATCTGAATTTGGACTCCTTCTGGATATCTGCTTGGTGCTCTATTTTCATGAAGAGGAAGCCACAAGTGCAAAGATATTAGGCTAGTATCATGTGAAATGTTCAAAGTAATAGCCAGATAAATTTAATGTGATTAAATATAATCAAGTTAGAACATAGTTGAGCTAATAGGTCTCCAGGAAGGAGACACATTGTTATGAACATAGGCCACTACAAATTGGTATATTTTAAGGAGGTAATTTAAAGTTAAAATTTGTGTAAGTAGAAGTGGAAGGGAAGGGAAATTTAAGTAAACAGAGAAGGAGCAAAATCTTGGGGGGAGGGATAAATATAAAACAGGTGAGTGTGCAAATGCCACTTGCATGGAAATGGTAGAATGAGGTCAGGAAAGTATAGTGGGGCCAGACTTTGGGAATAGGGTGACTGGAGGCAGAGGAAGCCTCTGTTAGTTCTTGAAGCATGATTGTCATAGAAGCTCTACATGCTAATGAGGCACCATGGGTCAGAAGTCATTCTTACACCCAAATGAGCATTCCCTGGGAGAACTTAGCTGGAGAGTCCCACAGTTCAGAACCTGATGCTATCTTTTATGATCTCTGCACACACTCAGGGGTCCTTTCTGTTCCTGTCACTTTCAACAGACTCTTCAGCTTCTGAGTTCTTATAGAGAGGACCCTAAAGTGCATCATGACTCACACCAACCTTACCATCTTCCATCCTGCAGTTTTTGTTCTACTGGGCATCCCTGGGTGGGAGGCTTACCACATTTGGCTATCAATACCCCTCTGCCTCATGTATATCACTGCTGTCCTGGGGAACACCATCCTGATAGTGGTCATCATCACAGAACATAATCTTCATGAGCCCATGTACTTCTTCCTCTCTATGCTGGCCATCACAGACATCCTGCTGTCTACCACTACTGTACCCAAAGCTCTAGCCATCTTTTGGCTCCATGCCCATGACATTGCCTTTGATGCCTGTGTCACCCAAGTTTTCTTTGTCCATATGATGTTTGTGGGGGAGTCAGCCATCCTATTAGCCATGGCCTTTGACCGCTTTGTGGCCATCTGTGCCCCCTTGCATTATACAACAGTGCTAACATGGCGTGTTGTGGGAAGGATTGTTCTGGCCATTATCACCCGAAGCTTCTGCATCATCTTCCCAGTGATCTTCTTATTGAAGCGGCTGCCCTTCTGCCAGACCAACATCGTCCCCCATTCCTACTGTGAGCATATTGGAGTGGCCCGCTTGGCTTGTGCTGACATCACCATTAACATCTGGTATGGCTTCTCAGTGCCCATTGTCATGGTCATCTTGGACATGATCCTCATTGCTGTGTCTTACTCACTGATCCTCCGAGCAGTGTTTCGTTTGCCCTCCCAAGATGCCCGGCACAAGGCCCTCAGCACTTGCGGCTCCCACCTGTGTGTCCTCCTCATGTTTTATGTTCCATCCTTCTTTACATTATTGACCCACCGCTTTGGACGTAACATTCCTCGACATGTCCATATCCTGCTGGCCAATCTTTATGTGGTGGTGCCACCAATGCTCAACCCCATCATCTATGGTGTGAAGACTAAGCAGATCCGGGAGGGTGTAGCCCACCGGTTCTTTGACATCAAGACTTGGTGCTGTGCTTCCCCTCTGGGCTAATGGCTCCCCATGAATTTGCACTCCAAGCTTTATCAAGGAAACTAGGCATGAAATACAGAGACTTTCTGGACTGAGAGGGCTTTTACTTCTCTTCCTCTTTCTCTTCCTTCTTCATTGTCGTCATCCCCCTCCAACTTTTATTTTTTCCTCTTCCGGCTTTTCATCTTTGCCTCCTTCTCCTGTTTCTTTGTTTGCTTTATCTTCTTCTCTTCTCATATCCTTCCTCCAAAACTCAGAGATAATAACTAAGTGTTACATGCCTCTGATGTGAACATTTGGTATCTTCAGTAGACCAGACGTACTCCAGAAACACAGAGAACTGAACACAACATGAAGTGGGTTATAAGCACATGGATGAAAATAATTTTATATTTAACATCTTGAAGGGGTTCCAGTTTTTTTTTTTTTTAATCTCTAAATGTGCATTGATTCTTTGTACAGACTCAAGTAGCTCTCTCCTCACTTTTACAATGGCAGCTGTTTTTGAAAAACAGTCACGCATGCCCTTCAGCCATCTGGAAAACTGTTCATTCTTCAAATTTCAGATAAAGAACTACCTTCCCTGAAAACTCTTTCCTGACTTTCCAAGCAATACAAGGCTCCTATATTGGTATATTGATTGCATCTTGTATAAATCTCAAAATGTATGTAGTGAATTGTAATAGGTTGTTTATTTATTTGTACCCCTAATTGACTGTAAACTCCTTGAAATCAGAAGAGTGTGTGTCATTCATATTTGTACTCCAGTGCCTTATAAAATGCCTGGCACATAATAAATGTTCGAAAACTGAGTGAGAGCACAATTACCTCCTGATGTTAGAACATGCATTTCTATTATGCACTCAAATGGTCAGCTAAATAGTCCACAAACCAGTGATGAGTAAACCAGCTCCTCACAAAGTCAGTTTGGCGTCAGGGAGGTAAATAAGCTGTAGATTGCAGAGCTTCTTACTTCTTACACCTTTGCTGTAACACAGGGACCAAGGAATAGACTAGAGTAGGAGGAAACAGGGCACGCTTGATTTTCTCTTCTAACCTGGCCTCTGACCCTTCTCAGTGTTAGGAATTATAGCACATTGTTCCTGGCCAGGTTAGCAACTTTGGAGTAGTCTCTTGGAGTTTAAAGTCTTGCCCCTCATTTTTTTCATGCTTTTTCAAAAGAGATCATATACACTCATTTCTTCAACCACCATCGACACAAATGAGTCCAACATCCCTCTCTCCATCCTAGAACTCTATTTTTGAGTTTTAGATGCATAAATATACCTATCAACTGGATTTCTCCTCCAAGATACAGAGCTCCCATTCAGGCTAGCTTTTTCCCCCTGTTCCATTCCTTTTCTTATGAACTAGATTATGATGACTCCATCAATTTCACTGAGCTGGAAGCCCTGGGGAGTTTCTCAACTTCTTCCTCTCTGTCCTGTTCCTCAAGAAGTTAATGATTGTTACCAATATTGATTGTACCACTAAATAATTATGTGGATAATATTTGCAGTCCTGTCAGGATTAAGGCCCTATCCCTATTACTTTCTAGCTGTGTGAATGTGTGAAACATATTTAATATTTTTAGTCCTCATTTTTTTCATCTGTAAAATGGGGATAGCAATAATACCTCATAGGGTTGTTGAGAAGATTACATGAAATAAACCATATATATACTATTTGAGAAGATGAAATGAAATAAACCATATGTATAGTACCTAATACGATCCTTGGATCATAGTATCTGGGAAATATTTCATTAATGCTAAGTTCTTAGTATTGTTAATTTTCTTTTTAATGTTGCTCTACTAATTACTCATGTCTGTTATCATCTTTCACCTCAGATAATGCATTAGCTTCTTAATTGATTTCATTGCTTTCAGTCATTTACACTGTAACCTAAACTATAAATTGACTCAAAGTTAAACATTCTAAAAGACAGAGTTTCTGTCACATACTTTCAAGTAATCTTCATTACTTATAGAAGTGTTTTCCATAGAATATTCTGCAGAAATAGCAGATATCATAATAAATGTTTTATAAAAATGTTCCATGGTCAAATAAGTGAAAAATGCTGACACTCTGTGGGTTGTGCACATGGCTCTCCAAGGGAAGGCTAGAGTTTGCAGCATATCCCACAGTAATGTGACCATAGATATTTGTATCACTTTTTTGATAGCACCTCAAATGTACATTTCTAAAATAACCTAGTGTTCCCTTAGCCACTGTTCAGAAATCACAGGACTACAGGGTAATTTCTAAGCCAAGCATTAACTTAATAATGTAGTCCTAACTTACTTTTCCATTTCTATCTCAAAACATACCACCATATAGCAATCTATTAGTATATAATAATATTAATAATTATAACTTAAAACAATAGCTAATGTTTATTAAGGGATTAATCTATGCTGGGAACCATGTTCAGTGCTCTGCTGCATTAACTTATTTAATCCTTACACAACCTTATGAGATAGTACCTTTGCTATCTGTTTTATACACAGGAGCACCCAAGTTTCAGAGAGGATGAATAATGAAGGCCACTCAGCTGGCAAATGGTAGAGTATTGACGTCAATTCCTTTTTGAAGTCTTCACCAATCCCCAAGTCAGAGGTGATTACCTTGTCCTCTGGCTCTCCACAGCAATGACATTTATGTTTCAACTGAATGTTAATTACTCCATGAAACCATCAGAGCTTGGGTTCTGTGAGGGCAGAGAATATATCTTACTCATCGTTCTAGTTCCAACATCTAGCATAGAATTCACTATGTATATTTATGGATTGATTAATTTGAAATGTCGGTGAAGTGGTTGACTCTGGACCCTTCACTGTTAAATATTATCTAATTTTATGACTGAAAATCATTTGGACACACACATACACACCACTTAGTTCCTTCTGATCTATTTCTGCTACATCTCCACAGGTTTCTATATACATTGAGGTCTAGCAGGTATAGGCAGGGTTTCAGTGTTCTGTGTATTGACTAGCAGCAGCTCAAATCTGCTCAGTCCATATCTTAGCCAGAGACATGGAGTTTTTAACAGATACAGTATGTTCAGACTTTTGTAGGTAGGGCATAGTTAGATTGCCCGCCCTCTCTGGTTCCTGAGTGAGTGATCTCTGGAGATTGGTCCTGCTGGGGTCTGCCTCTTTCTAATTAAACCAGATGCTCCCTAAAGACCTAGTGGAGTAGAAGCTCTCTCCTTGCCCAAGGGATTCCTGTGGTTGAGGTTCAAATACTGCCCTATTTCCCTCCTGAGTCTGCATCTGTCAGCTTCTTTCACATGTTGAGGAAGAACTTTCTCTTGAACTGGGGTAAGTTTCTGGGAAGGGGATAAATATTTTGTTCCTAGGAATTTTAGGTTTTCTTGGAATAAACTTAATAAACTATTGATTCAGATGAGATCCTCTGGATAGTGTAGAATAAGTACATACTATCCAGTGTGTACATCTTGACATCTTCAGCTGCTGCAGACATTTTTGACTCTGCAGGGCTGGGAGGATGACTAATATTTTTCCAGAATTAAAGTGGTTTAAGCAATATTGAACACAGGGGGTGCCTGGATGGTGCAGTCGGTTAAGCGTCTGACTCTAGGTTTTGGCCCAGGTCTTAAGATCAAGCCCCATGTTGGGCTCCGCACTCAGCAGAGTTTCCTTGAAGATTCTCTTCCTCTGCCCTTCCCTGCACTCATGAGAGTGCACACACACACTCTCTCTCAAATAAATAAATAAATCTTTTAAAAAAAGTAAAAAAAAAAAAAAAAAAGAATACTGGAAAGTAAGTATATTAAAACCCACAACATTAAGTTTACATATACTGTTTATATAAAACTAGAATTTATTATAATTCTACTGGCTTTAATGGGAGAAACTCATAAATAATGCTTTCAAAATAAAATTAGGGAAAAAATTAGCCATTGAAAGCACATAAAAACATATATATAGGTGCTCCCATTTTCCCTTTTGCCTTGGGCTCCGATGTGGCTCAGTACAGCATGGGCAATCCTATTTTTATTTAAAATTTTGATATCTTGTTCATCATGGATATTTTGACATTTTGTACTGAGGTAAGTTCTTACTCATTTCACCTTAGTCCTGGTCTTAGGAGACTCAGCACCTGGAGGGCAGACCAGAGTCACAAAGAAATGCAGCCCGTACTTGAATCTTTCCATAATCCTGATAGTTGAAACATACGTTTCAGTTTCAGGAGCAAAGACATTTCCCTATGTGTTCAAGCCAAAGTGAGGTGGGATTTTCTGTTACTTATAATGTAAAGTGTTGTAACTGATACAGAAGAGAAGAAAAGAATTATTTTATTTTTTAATTTGCTTTTACACTTAACTATATGCCATGACTGATACTTTTTTTCTTAAAAATGGAAACAAAACATTCTATTGTACTGTATATGCCATAATTTATTTTTTTGACCTATTGATGGATATGGAAGTTGCCATAATTTCTTTCATTATAGCAATAGTATAGCAATGAATATCCTTATAGAAATATCTATATGTTTTCATGCTGTGTCACCAGCATTGGAGGCTAATGTTTTTCTTATGTTTTCCAATTTGATAGGAAAACAATGATATTTCAATATGACAGATTTTCCTTTCTTCAAGTTTTGAGCACCTATGCATGTGTATATTGGCTATTTATTTTTCTTGTGGTATGAATTGCCTATTTTGATTCTTTGCATATTTTTTGTTTTTTCCTCATTCATCTCTACTAAATTTTTTTATTTTATTATGTTATGTTAATCACCATACATTACATCATTAGTTTTTTTTTTTTTTAAAGATTTTATTTATTTATTTGACAGAGAGAGACACAGTGAGAGAGGGAACACAAGCAGGGGGAGTGGGAAAGAGAGAAGCAGGCTTCCCGCCGAGCAGGGAGCCCGATGTGGGGCTCGATCTCAGGACCCTGAGATCATGACCTGAGCTGAAGGCAGTCGCTTAACCAACTGAGCCACCCAGGCGCCCCACATCATTAGTTTTTGATGTAGTGTTCCATGATTCATTGTTTGCGTCTAACACCCAGTGCTCCATTCAATACGTGCCCTCTTTTCTACTAACTTTTAATATTTAAGGATATTAGCCTTTTGTCTGTTATGTTTTATAATTTTTTCTCCTAGAATTTTTATTTGTTTTCCTAGAATTTATTCTTGTCTACATTTTTGCATAATTACATCATTCAATTATTACTGTCCATGAAATACCATTTTCTTAACTTAATCAGAGAGATCTTTCCAAACTTAAAAATATTTTCCTGTTTTCTCCTAAGATCTTCACTTTAATTTTTAATATTTTTAATTTTATTTTTAAGATACACATCTTTAATTTATCTATAATTTCTATTTGTTTAGTGAGTGAGGTGGGAACTAATTTTATTCTTTT